TGGCACTGCGGCGCGTGGGCCATGCTGGTCGCATGTGTGCATGTCTGTCGACTAGTGCCTGGCTGCGGGTTGCATCGGTCATGCCAACCACGTCCAGCCAAGCACGCTCGGGCTGAGGCTGGACCGAGCCCCACCGCCTCCCGCCCGCCCGTGTTCCCCTGCCTTTTCCCCTACCGCCGCCACTGTGCCGCGACAATGCCTGGATGTGAGAGGTGCCTCTCATTAATTCCACATGCTTGCACCTGCTCTCTCTTGTCCTCTCACCGCCTGAGCCACCCACAGTCTTGATGACGGCCGGCCAGGCGCCAATTTGGTGTTTCCACCCCGGCGAGCCGTTATGGCCACGCTGGGCCGTGGGCGTGGACAGCTTGGTCGCCATTCGCCCACTGTCCAATTCGTTGTACCACTACTTTTGCCTAGCTCTTTCCTTCGCCCCACGCACCTCAGCCTAGTCGCTCTCGGCCCCGCGGACGTTAGCCGTAGTGAGCCGCCACCAAGCTCGGCCACATGTGGTCGGCTTCCCTCAGCTACCTTTTGCCCCAACCATCACTTTGGGCAGACTCGCGGTGCGTCATTAGTGCTTAGCCACCACCTCTACCAGCCTGTTAGTGATGTAGCTCGCCAGGGTGGCTGCGCCGCCGTCGTGGGCGGTCGTGCACGGTGGTAGCTCGCTCTGGTTCATCTCGTGGCTCCATATCGCCACGTTGGGTTAGCGTTAGGGTCGTAGGTGGTTTCGGCTCGTTCGTGGGGTTGACGCAGGTCTTAGGTGGCGGGCGCACTACCTTGTGTCACCGCCCGCCGCGCCAACGCACGTAGGGACGGCCGAGGACCTGGCCGTTGTAAAGATGGGTTGTTGCGATGGCTATTTTGCTTAAGTACCGACTGTAGGAATAGGCCGCACAGTAGTCGCATGAATAGCAGATGGAGTGCGGGCATTTTCACAAAAGTACCAGCGCGTGGGCTTCCCCGCCATGGGCCGTTTTCACGCGTGGGCCGCGCCTCGCGCGGGCCGCGTTGGGCCAGAATCCGTTTATCATTTCGGCGGGAAAATAGAAATAATTTTATATTTTACATTCTAAGTTGAAATTTGAAAATTAATATCAATTTATATAAGTATCCAAAAATTGTGAAATAAATTCTGTTGAGTTCCTAAAAATGTTGTATATCTGATAGTATGGTTAGTTTATACATGTCTATGTTGATGCTAAGGTCTATTAAATCATTTGAAAGTGTTTAATGTTATTTAGATTAATAAATTGCAAGAATTTTTGTGGCAATTTGGTAATAGATTTGGCTATGAAATTTTTATAGTAGGTTCATTAGATTATTATGTGCTCACTGTAATTTTTGTAGCCTTAGAATAGGTTGAGAAATATGGTAGCTAAGTACTCCTCATTTTAGGATATAGATTAAATCGGTAATAAAAATAAGGATGCCTTTAGTTGCTAAGATAATACTCGAATGTTTCACACCTGTTTAGTGGAAAGGATGGGTAGCTTAGTATCTTAGTCATTAGAGTTAGTTTGATAGATGTATTCTTATTTTAAGAGTTGTTGTTGCCGTATTACTAAGTGTTGCATCATTATTTCATGCACGTAGATAATGAGTTGGTAGAGTTCATGACCACGGGTGAGCAGGAGTACGAGGAAGTAATTAAAGAGTATGAGGACTTTGCTGACACCCCGTCTGCCCAAGGCAAGCCCCGGTGCATAACCCTTATTTTAAATAAGCACTGAATATATATATCTGTGATGTGTATTTATGTTACAGGCATTTTATGAAAACTACATGCATCGATATATCTACCTACCGTTACTCACAATAGGTGATTATTGTTATCACTCTCATGATAAAATGGTGAAAGGAAAAGTGGAGACCAGGCAGGGATGTGGTATGGGTATTGGTGGGTATAAGAGGTTGTGTCTCATCGCCAACGGTGCATAGCCTGGTTACACTATTTTCTCTATCTGTGTTGGTTAAGGACCGGCCATTGCATTGGGTTTTAGGCAAGTCATAGACTTATTATCCTGAGCACATACTTGTTTATGGGAGCAGGAAAGGCTTGTTGTTCTCTTGTCATGAGTTCTGGCTCTTTCCGGACCGATTGATTGGAGGCGGGGATGATGGAGGTCTAAGCACCACACTGAGTCCGGGACTCATGTGTGGGGGCTAGGAGTCCAAGTTGGGACGGGGACCTGATCCCCTTGACAGGAGAGTGGTGGGTTGGTCCTGCTTGTGCTTGGGGTATTAGCGGGACGTGTATTTTTGGGGTACCCAGCTGGGCACATTGATTCATGAATCGCCGAATAATCCAGTACGGTTTGTCTACAGTCTAGCACCATAGTAAGAACTGGAAGATGAAAGATAGTGAAATGGATCTGTTTGCTCAACTCTTGCTTGAAAGTAGAACATGTGCTTACCTAGAATGGTTAAATAATGAATTAATCATGACTGCTAATAAGAAACCTACATAAGAATTCACTACTAGTCTTGCTTTTCGCAAAAAGAAAACCCAGCAAACCAAAAAGCTTATCATATCCTTTGAAGTTGGGAAATTATTCCTACTAGTCAGGTAAGTCTTGTGAGTATATTGTGCACTCAGAGTTTATTTACCCTGCTGCAGGTGCAGCTTGAAGAGTAGCTGTTGTGTGGAGGATTCTTCTGGTGAGCACAGACGGATCCTTGTATTTCTACCGGTAGATGTTTATTGTAATTCTGCTGTTTAAATTCCGCACTCTGAACTTAGTATTGTAATAATATATTTATGAGAACCCTTGTTGTATGAAATGGACTAAGTATTATAAACTCGTTCTCATTATTGGATCTGGAGAAAAATATGGATTATTCGAGTTCTCCTTGGGGTGTGCTCGACGGAATCCGCCCGATGTAGCTTGCTTTCGCGGTGCTTAATGTCTAGTGGAAGACGAGCGCCTTCGAAGGTGTGTTATTTTGGGTAGTACCACCACACGAGATAAGACATGCAAACAGATATTTCAAAACTACTGTAGAGTCCAAAGAACTTAGTAAATAAATCCTTCTAGAGGCTATGCAAATTCTCTCTAATCTCTCATTTGGTGTAGTTAGTGTTATCATAGTACCTACATGTATTCATGAAAAATAAATCATATTATTAGGGCAGTACAAGGCTTCCTCCAAAGATCAGGCAACTCCTTCAACCCTAGAAATTATATCAATTGATTGCTGAAGAGAACGATGTAAGGTAGAGATGCCAATATCCTTGAGGCAGATCACATAAAGGATGAGAGTCCCTCTATGAGATTGCTCACAAGAGACTCAAACTTATATCTGATCATGGTAATGTTGAATTGCTTTGCATCAAAAGCATCGGCAATGATAAACGGAGACGTAGGTTTTAGTATGTATAGTGGAGGAAAACTCAACCTTGGCCTTCTCAACAACTTTTCTGAGCCTTTGTCGTGCTAACTTTTTCTTACTCAGATAGTCAAGAAGTGCACCACAAAATTATGCACCACTAAAAAAAGTGTCACTATTGTTTGTCTTGACCTAAAAATATGTCGAAATTAAGAATTACAATACCTAATTCAACATCTTGAAACTGACACTCAAGTGGATACCTTATTCTATAATATATGTCTATGTGGAATAGTCCTAAAGCCACACATATTTATATGGTGAGTATAACATACTTTGTTTTAAGATTTTATGAAAGATTTTTTAAGGCACACAGTATTATCCATGTGACATGCACTAATATTTACATATATACTCGAACCTATGTGTACAGGATTATATGGAGATGCAGCGAAACTTATTCATAGATTTATTGGCGCATGAAAGAAATGGATATCGGAGAATTTTTTCTGTCGATATAAAATATTATCTTAGCCGTATCACGGAAAAGTCTATACAGTGGAGTTTGTGAGTCTGCGACATCGCGCTCTCCGTGACTGTGTTAATTTTACGAACTTTGCGTTTTAAATTAAATGCCACTTTAATGTCGGTATTTAATTTCACAGTATTGTTATCTTATCGTGTGATTCATGTGTTTTTAGTACAAAAGATTTAGTTGTCCTGTAGTAACGCACGGGAACGCTACCTAATATATATAATATATTAGAGCATCTTCAAAAGTACCCAATATTTTCTTCCTCAAACCATAAAGTTTTATAACTTAAAAAATATAGAAAAGAATAAAGAAGACCATCTCTAAGAGTTTCTAATAATTTAGTCTAAAATATAGAAGACAATTTTATATCTGAAATCATATACTATTTCTAAATTACTTTAATCACTTTTATATATTCTTTCTCTCTTCTACGTTTGCATTAGGAACCCTTTCGTACTCTTTATTCTTTCCACACCTTTTACCTCTAGATTGGCCGACAAATACACGCGTGGGGAGAGAAGATACACGTGACTCGAATGAGCGTAACTTTACGTGGAACAAAGTGACTTTTTCCAAATTCTAAAAGAATAGGAGAATGGATTAAGAGTTGTTAGAGAGAGTTTTTTTTATTTTGCTAAAAAAACAAGATAAGAAAGGGATTTAGAGAACTCTTATACATGCTCTTGTATATACAACTAATACATACGGAGGAGAGACTCTACCCGGCGGACCATCGCGCGTCGCCTCGCTTGGCTCTGCCTGGCAATCACCTCGCCGCCTCCACGCGTGAAAACCCACCCGGCGATCCAACGCGTGGGCATGAAAAGGAAAGGAGCGAGCTAAGAAAAGGAAAGGCAGGCAGTCACCTCGCCTGCATCTGCATGCGCCGCCATAGGCAATCCAGCGTGAGAAAAGAAAAGGAATTAAGGAAAGGAGCCAGCGAGAAAAAGGAAAGGAATTGGCATCCGGAATTCCGAATGTCCCCCCCGGCCGTCAGTTTCGCTCCATCCATGGCAAATCGGCATCCGCCTCGCTCCCCCGTGATTCATCCGCCCGACAATTTAGCTCCACGCGCGTCCGTCGTCACCCTCACCGGCCAAGATCTGGCGCCGTCCTCGCCGTCGCGCAGCCCTCAGCCGCCGTCATCGCTCTCGGGCAAGGTCATCGCCCTCGCCCCCGTCGTCTCGCGGGCGCCTTCATCCTCGCTCGCGCCCTTGCTCCAACTGCGGCCGTCGTCGTCAACATCCGCCGCTGAGCTATGCTGTTGTTGTGAGGCGGAAGCCACACCTCGCTCGTCCTCATTACCAATGATGCCATCGTCTTGTCCAGATCCACTCCCTTCCTTCAGTTTCTGCATGGGGAGCAACAACAGCTGGTAGAGGTGCGGGAACTCGACGGCGACGACGCAGTTGCTGTTGGTGCAATGCTTCATTACACACGGTACATCTCAACTGTGCACATTCCTTCTGCACATGTTCACCACCAACGCAGGTGATCATCTCTGATGTAGCTAAGGTTGCTCTCCATTTTTTTTCTTTTACTCACGACACAATCTGGGCACAGCGTGCATATTTCAACTATCTCAATTATGTTAGTGATCACACTTGGAAATTGGAATGTTAGCTTTTGTGCTCGGTGTAGCCTAAACAGGTGAAAGTTTGATTCTCTGCGGTAACTAGACATTGAAGCTACAACTACTTGCTTGCTTGAGGAGAGCACACAGAGAAGAGGGAGAGGGAGAGCGTTGTCGGTCTGCTGCCGTTGCTGCATCTCCTTTTGCTGCACATTTGGAGGCTTACCAGGTCCATTTTGGTACTAATTACCTCGGGTTAACTGACAGCACCTGATGACTTTTTTTTTTCAAATGGTGTTTAGTGCTGTTTGGATCGATCACATTGCTTACTCACATGAATAATGTGATGAATAATGAAATTCCAATTTTATCGCGATGAAGCTATTACCTCAGGATTAATACATTCTCTCTGAAGTTGGAACTACTACTCTTCTTGCTTGCCACTGCATATCTTGAGAATGATGCTTTCCTCAATACCTATCAGATGCTTTCAGGAATAAGCCCAGAGAGCGTGTTTTCTCTAAAATTTCGAGATTTCCAATTTCGGATGGGATGACACTGATATCTTGTTGCTGGGAGCTCGTAGCCAAAACTATTGATTCTGATGTAAGACCTCTGGAGCCTAGAGTGATTAGTTAGCAACTGTGGAAGGCCTGAAACTGCAGACTGCTGGAAGTTGCGCCTCAGGTAAACATCGCTCTGATCGGGTAGTAATCTACTAATCTGCATCGCCTCAACTCTTGGATAGAGAAACCTGACAACTCTGAATTTCCAAAGCCATTTGACAAGGGTGCTTGGAACTATAGGGAGTCGAGCAATGGTTTGAAGGTTGCTTTATTGAAATCTTGGATACTGTCCTTTTGATTTGTAAATCTCTATTAGTGCAATGTCAATTCACTTTGTGTTAGTTGCTACAATTTAAGCCTTGCAGATCATTGAGGCAAAAAAATCATTGAAAGAGTGTAGCTCTTTTTTTAAGATTCTCTTTATTTCAATTTGCAGCCTGCTGATATTCAACTCATATATCCCTTGAAGCTTCTATATATTATATAGGATCTGTAACCTGAAATTCGAATTGATCTGTGCATTATTGCCTCAAGCCCCAATGATGCAATTTTTTTTTCTTGCTATTATCACACTGGCAGCTGTAAATGATGGTCATTCAGTAACCACATTACTTTATTTGCTCTTTTTATTGATCTTTTCAGACTAAGCTTCCTCTTGGACAGTGACTGGAATACCATACTCCCAGCATGGTGGGCCCTTCTGATTGGAATGACGCTATTGCATGTCCAATGTTCAGGTTGGTTACCTCTACCTAATTCTCTTATATTTATTGAACAATTTTCTCTATGGAAATCAGATACATTGTTTAAGTACATGTGTATCTTCTTAGAGGTTTGTTGTTGTTGATCTGTGAGAAATTGATATTTGGAAGGAGTCGACCAAGATTGATTTCATTTCCATCTGTGTCTTACATGTTTTTGGTGAATGTATTAAACATTTAAACATGACCTGTTTAAGCTGTGATTCCAATTTCATGTCAATCGGATTTTGGTTTGTTTTGTTGATTTTGTCAAATAGATTGAGCTGCAGTTTTCTCTGTTCAGTCTCCAGCAGCAGCTCGTGATCTCTCTGTTTTGTTTTTCAGTGTGGATCAGCCTAGCAGCAGCTTAACTCTCCTTTTCATTTGTTTTTCAGTGTCAGTCTACAGCAGCTCAACTCTCCTTTCATTTCCAGACCAGATTTTACTTGAGTTTGGTGTATTAGTTGACATGACTTGGTACGCCCACGTTTTCATGAGTTTGGGCCAATGCAAATGCAGTGTACGGCTTTTATGGTAGGAGCAGGCGTAGGGCAAATAAGGGTGTTATTGAGCTGAATTTGATGTGTATGAGAAAAAAAATTAAAATTCGATGTATGACATTTTGCATACCATCTTATATAAGGGAATTTTTAGACGACTTGGTCTGATCTACTTAGGAGCTATTTTATTAGGATGGTGACTTTGTTTTGTTGAGCAAGTTGCGTGGGCATTTAACCATGTTTCAACTCGCTTCTTTCATTGCATTGAAAATATTTTGGCTCATGTGAGGCCGTGGGAACGCACGGGTCAGGACCTATCTCTACAACAACAAAAAATACAATATATTTCTTGAAAATGAAGTAAATACTGAGATAGCACATGTCTTGTACACCAAAGGTACCAGGAATAAATACATAACAAATTCAGCTCACAGGAACCTGGAAGACCAAGCCTAGACACAAGCCAAGATTTTTGTGGTGCAAGCAATCCCGAAAGAGGAAAAATATTAATCATATGTGAACAAAAAAAAGAACAATTCTAAACACATCAAAAGACAACATCTAAAAAGGTTGAACTTTGGGTTCAGCTTAGTCACGATCAACGGCTGTATGGTAATCTAAAACCATGCAAATTCTTGTATCAACCTAATATTGCAAATGCAGAATATGACCATTCAATGCTACATCAATGCAGAATATGGCAATTCAATGGTACATCAAAAAATAAAATCGATAAAATAGTATGAATATGATCCTTCGATATTCCATACAAGAAGGATTTTTTTCTCACTTGTTACGGCATTCAGGAAACTCTCGAAGGTCAAATCCTGCAATCCAAAAGCCTGCAATGAATTTGGCAACAAAAGCAGTAGGTTTTTCCAAATCCAAAAGACAACCACTCTGGTAGCTGCAAGTTATCACAACTTGGCCGTGGTTTTGATGGTGCGTCCTGTGGCTAGTTCTGAAAATCCATTCAAAGACAGGCCTTCCTTAAAATCGATGATTATCCTCCACAGAAACTAAAAAGCCCTAAGAAACATGGGTGGCAACCATCCTACCATTATAGCACCCGGTTTTAAGAACAAAACTAGATACACACCATATATGAGTCCAGGAAGTCAAATCTCACATATAGCTACAAATAAGGGTAATATCAAAAGACAATGATTAAATATATAGCGTATTAATATAAAGATTATAACCTCAAAGTATAGACAGCGGAAAGACAACTCCGATCTTTAGGTGAGTACTTCAAATCCACAGGGACAACTGATTGGTTGATCACAAGCCTAATTCCTCCAACCTCTAACCATCTGGTACCAATCCGGGATTTTTATCCAAATAATTAAAAAAAAATAAAGCAAGCGTAAATACATGTTGTACTCAACAAATATAATATGGGGTTCATGAGGCTCAAAAGGCTGACACTGATTTAATTGTGTTTAGCTTTTAATTGTTATAATTTTAGCATAGGAGTAGCAACAAGTTTATCACAAGCCCATATAACACACATGATCAGGTAAAGATGAATAATGAAGAGGTATATGCATCGTAGGCCCTTGAACTTGTCTCGGGTGCCACTTAGGTCCACAAACTCTCAAATCGTACTTCTGGCGCCCTAATGTTGTTTAAGGATGCCACTTAGGTCTATACCTCATCGGATCAAAGTTTTGGTTGACGTGGCGTGGACAGAGCGCACGTGAGCCGCGCGTGAGTGTGGTCTGGGGCGTACAAATAAGAAGAGAGGCCCCCGCGACCGCTACCTCCGCCGTCTCCTCGCAGCCGACGAATCGCGTGCCAACTCATTCCAGCTCCACGACGACAACGACAGGGCAGCGACAGCGGCCACGCGGTCCGGCTCGGCAGAGGTCCCGCTGACCTCCGGCATCCGGTTCTAGACGCTCAACTACGTCACCACCATCGCGCGGCGGCGGCGGCAGCCGCGCTTTGGCTCCCCGTCGTGAACCTCACCGTCGTCGTGGACACGGAAGCGACCTCACACAGGTGCGGTGCAAGCCCCGCTCCGCGTGCTACGCGCGGTGCGACCCGCTCTTCGACCCCGCGGCTCCACCACCCACGCTGCGGTCCGGTGCAACCTCTCCGTGCACGGCCTCCCTCAAAGCGGCCGGCACCGGCATGCCGGGATCTGCGGTACCATGGCGGCGGGGAGGCAACGAGAGGTGCTACTATGCGCCGCCATACGACGATGGGTCCTTGACCGCGGCGTGTTTCGCCATCGACGCGGTCGCGCTCGGCGGCGACGGCCTAGATGGGTTCGTGTTGGTGCGGGCTCGGCAACGCGCGGCCTGTTCGGTAACACGACGGGCTCATGGGATTCGCCACACCGAAGTTGTCCTCGGTCTCCCAGATCGCGCGGCCCCCGACGGCGGCGGCATCTTCTCCCTCGCTGTCGGCGGCCACCTCTGGCGACGCCTCGGGCTCGCTTCTCCTCGGCGGAGGCGACGTCGTCCCTACCGCAACACGACGCCCATGCCCTACACCCGCATGATCGACTACCCGACGCGAGCCGCCCTTCTACTTCCTCAACATCACCGGCGCAGCCATCGGCGGCGCCACCCTCGCGGCGCAGGGGTTCGGCGCCACCAATGTGCTCATCGACTCCAGCACGGTGATCACGCGTCTGGCGCCGTTTGTGTACCGCGCCACGCGCGTGTTTAAGTATGCTGACAACTCTAGTAAGAGGAGGGGAAATGGAGGATATGAAAAGAACTGGGGGCCTCTCTGCTTATTTGCACACCCCAAACTAAGCTCACACGCGGCTCACATGCGCTATGTCCACACCACGTCGGCCAAAACCTTGATCCGATGAGTTATGGACCTAAGTGGCATACTTAAACAACATTAGGGTGCCAGAAGTACGATTTGAGAGTTTGTGGACCTAAGTGGCACCCCGAGACAAGTTCAAGGACCTACGATGCATATACCTCAATAATGAATACCATAAACAGTAATCATTAATGAGCTTCTTTATCATCAGTACCATCAGTGTTTATCATCTATTTCGTAAATGTTCCAAGGCCGCTCGTGACCGTGAGCACGGCTGATATACCAGTTTTACACTCTGCAGAGGTTGTACACTTTCACTGTGAGTCATGATTTATCCTTTCGCCCGAGGTGATCAGCCTCTTGACCCTACTACCAAGGAAGGTCGGCAGGGTTCACTATGAAGCCTTTCAAAGGTTCGTCTAACAAGTTAGGGCCATTAGATTCACTCGACAAACAAATATAGGAACCCCTCTGTCGAATGGCACAGTTTCATCACGGCTATACACATAAGAGTAGAGGTTGTCCTATACCCGATTTGTCAAGCCATTCTTACGCCAATAAAGGTAACCTCTAACAAGCTAGAAAAGGTCCTTATACTGAGCTAAAGCCAGAGCCATATAGCCCTCATAGTTGTACTGTAAGTCCCGGATGATTACTTCCTGATAAGTCCTTAGGGAGAGGAATCTAGAGCACCATAAAAATAGCCCAATGCTCTAGTCCCCTGATTCCATGTTGCTATAAAGCATCTTTTAATGTTTATTGCATATTCCATTAGTCAAGTTATAAGATCATGGCTTTAGTTGAGCACTAGCATCATACTACCCAATGCAATACCTCATAGGTAACAAGTTACAAGGTACAAGGTACAAAGTACTAAGAAATCTTTAGTGGTAGTCAAGGTAGACACATGCAGTATGAATTAAATGATTAAATGTGTATAGGACAACAAGGAAGATCCCATGCTATACTTGCCTTAAACTTAGATCTTTCTTCGAGTCCAAAACTTCAAAGATCGGCTTCTTAATTCACCACGTATAACTCACCGACTGGACAAGATCATAAAGCACCACACAAGCATCCATGCAATCACACACGAAGCAAACAATAGATCTAAATTAGAACAGTACACCAAACATAGAAAAATAAGTAAAAGAGTTTGAAACACGATTCTACGCGTTGCTACGAACACACAGACGCGAGAGGCACGCTAATCAGAGCTACGGTTGAAAAGTTACATCTACCGATAGATTTGCTTTATACACGGAAAAAAAAACTATAGGCTTCATTTATTTTAACTATATAGAAGCTTATATAAATTGAATTAAATCAAATTTAGATTCGAATTATAAAACTAAAGCAAAACAAATCATATTTTATCTATAAAATCCAGTTGCATAATTATTATTCAAATTAGAGTTTAAATCATGAAATTTTAGAAATAGTGACATGGTAACCACTGTTACTAATGCGTATATCTCGTTGCTATGAATCTAACACAACTTGAATGGGTCAAAACAGAGCTAAAACGCAGAAGATATGAAATAAACAAGATTTCTTTTATTAAAATAATAGATTAAATCTAACCTCAAATTTTAAAAATTGAAAACATATCTAATAGTAGTATGAACATGTAGATTATGAAATTATGAACCTAACGCAAGTTGAACGGATCAAATTGGAGTTAAAACGGAGAAGTTATAGCTAAATAAATTTAGTGGCAAATCTGTAAATAACTGAAAACATATTTTTAAAGTCAACCGAACAAAATACGCTTTTAAAAGAAGAAGACGTAATCTGTCAAATATACAATGGACCGCAGGTTCTATTTTGAAGAAATCGAGGGGCTCTTTAGCAATTGTGCCTGCGAACCGGTATGGATGAATATCGGTCGTCGGATCAGATGCGGGCGGCCGAGATTGGATCGGGCGGTGAAGGTGGTTGGCGGCGAGCTCATATGCGGCGGCGCCATGGCCGGAGCGGCGGCACTCGGCGAACTTAAGCCTATGGTTCACCGTTCGACGAACCGAGGACATGGAAAGCTAAAGGAGACAACAACGAACTCGTTCGGATGATTTACCTCGGCGTGGAGGTCAGCACAGCGCTCGGCGAACGGACGGTGGCGCTTGGGGCTATGGCTGCTCGGCGTCTCGGCAAAGGGGACTGCGGCGCTGGAGCTCGGATTGGGAGGCACGGGCATGGGGCATCCGGTATTTAAGGCCCTGGAGCCTTGGGAGACACGGCAAGCGAAGGGAGACGGGGGCGGCGCGGGCACGGCCTCCATGGCGACGGCGGTGGAGTCCAGCGCGGCGACGGAAGGTAAGAGAAAGGTCTGACGGATGGGGCCCACCTGTCTGCGTAAGAGAGAGAGGAAGGGGACGCGCGTCTACTGCCTTCGGGCTGGCCTTCCGGGCTGCGCGGGGAAAAGCATTTGGGCCGACTCGGCCCACGCGGGAAAAAGCGGAGGAGAAGAAGCAGTGGGCCTGCGCGGAAGAGCGGGAGGAGGAGCTGGGCCTGCGCGCGGCTGGGCTGTGGGAAGAAAAAGAGAAGCAGACCGAGCAGGCCTTTGGGCCAGGAATGAGAGGAGAAGTTTTCCTAATTTCCAATTTTTTCTATTTTGTTTTCAAAATCAATTTCAAATATAAGCCAAATCAAATTCAATTAGAGTTTCAAATATACTTTTCACTCGAATAGGAATGAGAACTTTTGGTAAGTTCTCAAAAATAAATTTTACAACCTTTTTAAATTCTTTTATTTTCCAATTCCCTTTTTCCTCTTTTCTTTTACTTCAAAGCCATTTTTAAATTTATTTTTCAAAAGCTTTTTGAATGTTTTCAATTTGAATCAAATTCACACAATTCAAAGAAACAAATGCACTGACATGTATGCACAAATATGTTGCTACTCTATGATGAGTTTTACTTTAATGAAAAATTTTATTTTCCTATATTTTATGAGCACAAAATTTAGAAATAAATTATTTTAAACATATTTTCAAAAGAGGTAAATTTTAGGATGTTACAACCATCCGTGGTATGGGACAAGAAATCCCCGGTGCCATCCTTTGAGGTTCAAATGAACAGTGTTCAGGTTAGTTATGTGCTTATATCTCTCTCCTAAAACTAATATAAATAGTTTTCATCTCCCCGAAGCAATGTATAACTCCAAGGCAATGTAACAGATTGTATCAGTCACCTACATAACAAAATCCAAAGGTACCAGGAATAAATACATCACTGGAACCTGGAAGACCAAGCCTAGACACAAGCCGAGATTTTTGTGGTGCAAGCAATCCTGAAAGAGGAAAAATATTAATCATATGTGAACAAAAAAAAGAACAATTCTAAACACATCAAAAGACAACATCTAAAAAGCTTGAACTTTGGGTTCAGCTTAGTCACGATCAACGGCTGTATGATAATCTAAAACCATGCAAATTCTTGTTTCAACCTAATATTGCAAATGCAGAATATGACCATTCAATGCTACATCAATGCAGAATATGGCAATTCAATGGTACATCAAAAAATAAAATTGATAAACAGTCTGAATATGATCCTTCGATATTCCATACAAGAAGGATTTTTTCTCACTTGTTACGGCATTCGGGGAACTGCGATGTTATTCAATACTCTCTCCAAGGCCAAATCCTGCAATCCAAAAGCCTGCAATGAATTTGGCAACAAAAGCAGTAGGTTTTTCTAAATCCAAAAGACAACCTCTCTGGTAGCTTCAAGTTATCACAACTTGGCCGTGGTTTTGATGGTGCGTCCTGTGGCTAGTTCTCTTGAAAATCCATTCAAAGACAGGGCCTTCCTTAACATCAATGATTATCCTCCACAGAACCTAAAAAGCCCTAACAAACTTGGGTGGCAACCATCCTACCATCCGTGGTATGGGACAAGAATTGATGAATGGAGTATGTGGCCGACGATGCTATTCAACTTGGGGTTGTTTGAGAAGCTCATGTGTCCACTGCAAACAGCAGACATGTGGCAGGAGTCAAAGCTAAAACTCGCATGAAAATAAAAAGGCCAATCCAATCTTTGGCACGGAATCGTGGTGGTGAAGGCGTACCAGTCGTGGCCGAGGACGAAGACCACCCAGAACATGGTGCCCTGCGCGGCCTAGTATAGCGGCCAGACGAGCCAGCTGTCGAGGCACGCGGCTGTTGTGGCGAGTCCCAGGACGACGACGACGACGTCGCGGAGCACATAGCTCATGGAGAGCCAGGGGTCCATGACCAAGCAGTGCTTGGGGATGGCCGCGCGGATCTCCGCCAGCCCGAATGGCGGCAGCGCCCCCGGATCGAACTCCCTCCTCCCGAGCGGGGAGCGACTGTCCGCGGTCGCGCGCAGCAGGTCCCGGTGCTCCTGGCACAGCGCGGCCGCCAGGGACATGTCCACCGCGTCCAGCCGCTCAGCATGCCCCCGGGGCCGTTCATCTCCTCCGACTCCTCCTCCGGCAATCCAGGTCGCCTCGCAGATCCGGCCACCTCGCGTCCTTGCGGCCAGCGGCGTGGCCTGGTGGCCGGTCCCCGGCGTGGCCTGGTGGCCGGCGCCCTGGTCGCCTGCCCTATCGCGCGTGGGAGAGATCGCGGCCTCGTCCCCGGCGGCGGCTGCGCGGGCTTGGAGGCGACGCTCAGCCACCAGCCCTCCATCCAGCGGCGCGGTGGCAGATCGAGGCCGCCCCGATCTCCTGGCCGTCACACCATCTCCTTGCCCGCTACTTCTCCTCCTCCAATGGCGTGGAGGAGCTGCCGCCGTCTCCTGACCCTGGCCTCGCGTTGAGTTTTTTTTTTTTTTGAACCACCGATATTATTCGATGATGATTACATGCTTCCATGCCTGGCCGCGAGGTGAGTGGGGGCGTGGGGCGCGTTTGAAGACCGCGTGCGTGGGATGGAATGCGCGGGGGCGAGAAGCCTGTCATCTCACATTAAAGATCGGCCATTGGATTTGGATTAGATATTTTATTAGCCTTGATTTGAATGAATACGAATTGCTATGTGCATTTTTGTGTATAATAGTTAAAGGCTCTCAACGGATGATGTTTTTTCTGAGAAGACATAGTATAATTTTGATTGATATATTACAGTAGAGATCATCTAGCCTGCATAACGATTCTCCTCGCTCTCCTAGAAAATTTACATTTTTATCATTATAACAATTGGTCACTTGTCCGATTCTCATCCTTGAATGGAAATTACATATTTAGAGGAGAGGGACGAAATCCTACGAGTTTGTCAAAAACGAGTGTTTTTGCGCACGTGGCGTGTCTGCCAAGTCACGGTGTCAGCGTGGACGTGCATAGCGAAAAGACGAAGCTTTCTCCAACAGCTGGGTCCCGCAGCTGCCCACTGCCTGGTGGGCCCCACCCGTCAGCTTGTCTCCCACCTCCATCCCAACAAGAGCAGAGCAGGGGCGCCGGCGGCCAATGGCCGGCCGCGGGGAGGTTTCCCCGTCAGCGAACGGCCACGCCGCGGCTATCTCGGGCCCGCGCTGCTGCAGGACGTGTGGGGCGCCGCTGGGGTCGAGCTCGGCCACAGCCATGGCCACCTGCTCCGCCGCTGGGGCTGAGCTCGCTCGCGGCCGGGGCTTGGTCCGGCTGCGGCGGGAGCAGCGGGCCATCGAGGAGCAGATGGCCGCGATGTGGCGCCGCATGCAGGAGACGGAACCCCGCCGCCTCGTCTCCGGGGCCGTGGCGGGCGCTGGCGGCGCCGGCAGGAGCGACGCCGGTTCGCCGCCACGGAGCCGGACGACGGTGCGAACATCAAGAGGCCTCGGCTGCTTCTCAATGCGGGTTGCTCACCGGGGAGGCGTATGTCGATGACGAAGGTGCCGCCCTCGTAGGGGCTGTCGGCGGTCCCGGCGATGGTGCCGGTGAGGTGGGAGATGTTGGCGTCGTCGTGGAGCGCGATGGAGACGCCCGACACCTCCCGGTCGCGATTGCACTCGGTGAGCTCCTTCTGCACGCGCGAGACGTTCACCATCCTCGATCGATCCCTTCCTTCCTCGCGGCGCCGCCGCCACCTCCGCCTGGCTCTCTCGTCAGGAGCGGCGCGATGGGATGGGATGGGATGCGAGGACGGGGAGGGTGAGGACTGAGGCAGGTTGGGATGTCCATGGCTGACGGGGAAGCCTCCCCTCGGCCGGCCTTTGGCCGCCGGCGCCCCTGTTCTGCTCCGCTCTTGTTGGGATGGAGGTGGGAGACGAATCTAACGGGTGGGGCCCACCAGACAGTGAGAGGAGCTGCAGAACCCAGCTGTCAAAGAGGGAGAGAGGAGCAAGACAGGGGCAGCTTCATCTTTTCGCAATGCACATCCAAGCTGGCACCGTGACCTGGCACGCCACGTATGGCGTAGGCAAACTTATCAGATATCGTCTCTCTCCTCTGTTAAATATGTAATTTCCATTCTAAGGATGAGAATCGGACGAATGATGATCATTATAATTGTAAAAATATAAATTTTCCCGCTCCTCTTCTTCCTTTTAACCCCGCTAGCTAGCATGACGATCGCCCCTCCCTCCAACCTTGCTAGCTAAGCGGACGCCGCCTTATTCGGCTATTTGATTCGTTTAATTCTTTGATGCGTGAAGAAATCTTCTTTAATTTGGTTTTGTGAGAGAAAAATACTGTTTCGGTTGAAAATTTACGATCATTTACGACATGCCACAGCCAAACGAACAGGCTCACGATCTCCGCATGGCATGTCACTTTTTGACAAAGTTACTCAAATAGCTAGCATGATGATCCACATGGCATGTCACCTCGTGACAAAGTTACTCTGCTAACTAGCATGATGATCCACATGGCATGTCACCTCGTGACAAAGTTACTCTGCTAACTAGCATGAGGATCCACATGACATGCTACCCTATGACAAAGTTTTGGCTCCCATTACAACACACGAGCATGAACTAGTAATAGAAAAAGAACTAAAGGATGTGAATATATCTTCTCTAGTGGCTGTGAACCGCTTATTGGTGACGAAATTCACGCTTCATCCCTTATCCTCTTAGGAAACAACTCTGGATGTCAAATTATGCCATGCCTTGTCTCTCTTGTTCCTTAACCTGTCAGCAATGGCGAAAGCCAGCTCGAGGGACTGCGACGCGTTCAGTCTGGGGTCACAGTGCGTGTGGTAGCGGGCACTGAGATCATCAAATGTTACCGCCTTAGATCCCCCGATACACTCTGTAACATTCTGCCCTGTCATCTCCAGGTGAATCCCTCCAGGGTGGCTTCCCTCTTGCCCATGAACATCGAAGAAAGCCCCGAGTTCAGCCTGCACATGCAAGTACCAACTAGTATCAAATACAGAGTGTAATGCAGTTCCTTAACGAATCATGACAAAAAGATTGTTGTTACCCTGATTGCATCAAATGATCTTGTCTTCAGTCCGCATGGTGCGCTGATTGTGTTTCCGTGCATAGGATCACTAACCCAAGTAACAATCATCCCAGCTTGGCGCACTGCTCTGATCATTCGTGGAAGCTTAACACGCATGTTCTCAGCCCCCATTCTTGTGATAATCGTCAATCGCCCGGGCTTGTTGTGAGGGTTCAGAGTCTCACACAACTTCACAAGCTCTGATGGATCAAGCTTATCACTTACCTATATAACATATACAAGTTAATACCGGCCATGTAATTATTCTTTTAAGATAATAATAAAAACAGTAACTAATATGCTTCTCTTCATAACTGCTGAGAAATGGCATTGTGCTGACTACTGTACTCAACAATACAGTAATAATACTAAAGGCTACAATATAATACTGCATTGTGAACGTTTTCTCTAAAAAAAAGGATGAGCCCTGATAACTAATAGGGTGTTTGGTTTGAATGGGTTAGTCAATCATCTAATCACTCCTCACTTTTTTGTTTGGTTTGTGGAATGTAATGGGTAGATCCATCATCATCTCACTCTTCATGATCTAACAGTAAGTACTAGTACAAGAAATAGAATCATTCCACCAAATTTGAGTATGGACTCACGATGCACCACCTCATCTAGAATATAATAATTTCTCAAACCAAACACCCTATAAGAGTATTACCATGTGCCATGTGAATTGAACCTAAAGCACCTCAGCTGTTATTTGAGACCACAGATGAGAACTGCATCGATCAATAATAGTAAGATGAGAACTGCAACACTACTTCAACAGTACTTTTTAGCGAACGAACAGTGTTTTCCTCTCACAAAAAATCAGCATAAGCCAAATTTCAACGAAACGAACAGGGCTATATGAAAAGATGTTAACTGTAAATGTTATCCAGACAGTCTCTCGTAGGTGGCTATTACCTTTATACCCAGAGGATTTGAAATACCACGAAGGAATTCAACATGAGCACCATCCAGCTGCCGAGTCCTCTCACCGACCCAAAGCATGTGTGCGGAACAGTCATAGTACAGGCCAGTAATGGAATCCTTCCTAGTCAGTGTTTGCTCGTATAGTAAGTGAAGGCACTCATGGGATGTCCATAACTCAGCTGTGGTCATGATGGGGTGTTGAGGGGTCAGCCCAGCGGCAACCATAAACCCAATGGCGTCATGAACCCTCTGAGAAAACTCCAGATACCTGCCAGCGCAAGGAGTTAACATATATATGATCTGCACTTCTGTAGATTAATTATTGTATAAGAATGAATACCACATTAGCACTAATTATGAACCTATTATATATAGTGTGCCAGCATGACTGTACTAAAATGGTCTGATGCTGTCGTAGCAGTAGGATAGACAAAATATTATATTATATTATATTTGTTGATTTTGCACTCTGAATTTTCTGCTCGTAGAAAAGGTAAAACACGTGAAGTTTTCAATGACAAATTTTGCACCCTGATGCTGTCACTATATTATTATAGTGAAATGAGTATTTTCATAAAATTAATTGCAGAAGGCATAGTTACTCAGACGACAATAGCTAAGGACCTGTCTCCTTGTGTGCTGTGCCTCAAGAAGTCGAGATTCCACTGGGTGACTCTCTGAAGATCCGCAAAACCTCCATGGGCAAATGCTCTGAGAAGATTCAGGGTGCTCGCAGACTGGGTATAGGCTCTAATCAACCTTTCAGGATCTGGTACACGAGATTCCTCATCAAAAGCCTGATCGTTGATGATATCTCCTCTGTAGGATGGAAGGGTTACCCCATCTCTAGTCTCAGTTGGGTTCGATCTTCGCTTCGCAAATTGACCACCCATCCTTCCAACCTGAAATACATTGTCGACACCTCTTATAAACAACTTGATACCACCTTTTATATAAACCACTTGATAATTTGCTCAGTCAAAAAACAGGATACTGTTTTATTTTGCTAGTACGGAGTGGTAAGTCAGGAAAGGACAAAGTGCAGATGCGCTAATGGTGATTTGAATTTCTTTTTCTCATTTCTTCCAGTCATAATCAAAGAGCAGATTAAGAGAGAGAAAACAGAATATTGCTTTCGGAACATCACGAATTCTTATTTTCTCATTTATAAATGTCCACTCCAGTTATGCTAGACAAATCTGATCCTAGTTTTAATTCACCAATCACCATGGTTTTGATTTTCTTTCTTTCTTTGTATCTTTTTCTTTTTGAAGTCTGCATCTTGTTATTATATTCTCGAATCTAGCCATTTAAATGTCCACCTGAACGTGCCACATTCTAGATGATGCATCCTCCAAAAAATCCAGCACCACAAGTCACTAACTCAGTACTCTTGTTAGGGGAGTGCAAATCATGCATTCAGACGCGGATTTACGATCGGAATAACGGATCACCTGGGACGAAGAAACAATGCTTTGTATTACGGGGAGAGGAGCAGAGGAGGCTGGGATGGAGGCGGAGATGGAACGACCTTGATGGTGGGCATCTGTCCACCGAAGGTGAGAACGACGGCCATCTGCAGTATGAGCCGGAAGGTGTCGCGGATGTTCTTTGCATTGAACTCCCTGAAGCTCTCGGCGCAGTCGCCGCCCTGCAGGAGGAATGCCCCACCCATGGCCGCCTCCCCGAGCCGCTCCTCCAGCTTCCGCACCTCACCCGCGAACACTAGGGGTGGAAACTCCGCCAGAGTTCGCTCTGTAGCCTCCAGCGCCGCCGTGTAGGGGTACTCCGGGATCTGCCGCGCAGGGCGCGCACGCCAACTTCCCGGCGTCCACCCATCCGTTGTTCCCTCTGAGGCCGCGCGCAGTGCCGTCAGGCCTCGCCGCGGCCTTATCCGTGGGACGAGAGAGCGCGGGTCATGGGGAGTAGGAGGCGGCGCGGTGGCGAGAGGCGCCATTGTGGCGGTGAGGGCGGTGGCGAGAGGCGCCATTGTGGTGATGAGGGCGGCGGCGGAGTGGGAGATCGAGTCGAAGGGGAGCGAGTCGGAGGCCCGCGAAACGCTTTGCGTGCAACGCGTTCAGCCCCTCTCGTGTGTGCACGTGGACGTGGCGACGCGTGGCAGAATGCACAACAGCACCAAGTCAGGAAAGAAAGAAAACGGGACCGGATATAGAATAATATATACTCAGTTTCAATTACAAATATGTTCTAATATTTCTAGACAATAGCCTATATCTAGATGTATATATTATTTGTGAGCACCCAGTCCTCATCACTATGATTGGAAGTAAACTGCACTCACATAGCAAAGGTATTACTTAAAAATCAGAGCTCCAATAAACAGATTACTTTTCCAAGCAACCAGCAAGCCTCCAGAGGCCCCAGCAGAAAAGCAGGAACTCAGAAGCGTCAAAGTTCCTTGGGCAAATCTGCTTAACAAACCGAAGGTCAATGTTTTCCTTCTTTGTTTCCTGAAAACATATGAAATCACAAGTAGAGTGCAAGACTTTCAGCCTGTTCGCTTGCTCATATCTGGCTTATAAGCCATGGCTTATCAGCCAACGAACAATATTTTTCTCTCACACCAAACCAAGCACCAGTACTTTCAGCTATGGCTTATAAGCCAAATCAGTCCAAACGAACAGGGCGTTTATCTTTTATTGTATCCCATTTTGCCTCAGAATCCAAACCCTCACATTCCATCAGAATGATTTTTGTCAGAATTCTGACACCAACAAATTATTTTTTCCATCATTAGCACCCTTTGAATTGTAGGAAAACAAAGGAAAAATATAGAATTCACATTTCTATGGGTCAAGTTATTGTAGCATCGTTTGGTTCGCAGGAATCATCTACAAGAAAAACATAGGAAACTTTCCTTTGTGCTTGATTTCACAAGAAAAAATATCCACTCAAACCTCACGTCCCTTGCTTCTTGTGTTTTTCTTGCGATTGATCCAAACATATATTCCTACAAAATTTCTATATTTTTTATTCATCTTTTTTTTAATATGTATTCCTATTCTATTGTTGTGTATTTTCTGCATTTTTCAATCCTGCATTTTAAAGAGGGCTTAAGCAAAGGATGTAAACCATCTCATTTGGAACACAGGAATTTTACTGATAGCTTAGGTAGTTTGAAGAATTTTACCATGTCAACTTCTCTAGTAGATTAGTTTGTCCACCACCTATCTATACCTAATATAGTAGGGAAGCAAATTCTGAGAGACCTGGTCCAATGTTTTTGAGGCGTCGCGCTGACCCCCTTCACAACGCCTGGGCGTTTGTGGCGGACGCCTAGGTGACGCCATACACATATTATAAGGCGTTGTAAGCTAGAATTTTATATACTAGTGCAGCACATACATACCTTGTTTGTTGCTAATTCTTGAGCCCATGTTCCTTTCTTTCCTTTTCAAAAGCTCTTCTCCCATGTAGCATCCATCCCTCTTGAAGGAAACTGCATGACAATTACAGAATTCAGCAATCAAACAGATTATCAGTTGCTAAGAATTAAATAGGAAACAATACACAAGAGGCAAGATAACAAATTAGCAAGCATTAGTGGAATTAAATAGGAGATGCAGAGCGGACGACAGAGCGGAGATACACAAGAGTATACAATATTCATACTACATGGGCCAAACGGAGATGCAGAGCGGACGGCAGAGCAGAGCACGAGTAGGCAGAGCGGACGGCCAAGCAGAGCGGACGGCAAATGTAGAGCAGAGCACGAGGAGGCAGAGCGGACGCCCAAGCGGAGATGCAAGCCGGCTCCGTGGCAGGGGTGGCCGGCCGGTGGACACGAGCAGAGTAGCAGCCCAGCGGAGGTCGAGGTCCGTCCGCCGCCTTTTCTCTTTCTCTCCCCTCGCCCGCACTCGCAGTGAATGACTCGCGCGGTTGATTTCCCACGCGAAGAGGCTACCTGGGCACACGCGCGATCGATTTCCCGCACCTCTTACTTTTCCCGCGGGGCCACGCTCCTTTTGGCGCCCTTCCCCTACGACCGGTATCTGGCGTCCGCGCGCGCGGTTGTAGGCGTCCGCCCGACGCCATTCGCGCCAAGGCGACGCCTAATCCTATGAGGCGGACGCCATACATGCTGAGGTCGTGGCGACCCCGACACCCAGGCCCTCGACCACGCCTTGTCGCCTAGGCGACGACTAGACGACGCCTCAAAAACATTGACCTGGTCTTTCCCTTATCTGAAAGACATTCCTCTTTAATCGACACGTCATATGTACTAATCTTAAAGCAAGCTGAGCCTCTAGCTGCAGTTCCATTACTCACGCCGTTAGCATGCACGACGTTTCGTGGCCGCCGGGTGCAGCGGCTGTCTTGCATAGGAAGACAGTGACACAAGTGTTGTTTACTTGCACTAGAAGATTCATGCGGCCACTGTTTACTTGTTCCTGCTATCAACCGGGGGTGCCAAGAGATCAAGAAAAAGGAAAAGGAAGCAGACAAAGCTAGCGCTCAGGAGCTTCTTCAATCTTCACCTTCCTGCTAACGGCATGTTGCCAGATTTGCCATCCGCCTCCATATTGCAGCTGACTGTTCCTGGTGATGTGGGCAAAAACTCTTCCCCCAACTTTGAAGATGATGATGGAGATTTCAGGCTGACGAGGAATCTGAACAAATTGCGGCAACAGATTTGGAGGTCAGTGAGACATTTCTGTACCCAAGTGATTCATAAGAAATTTACTACTTATTAAGGACGAATTCAGTAGAAGTAAACTGATATGGGATAATATGTTTTGTTTCACGTAGGGTAATAACCAAACTCTGTCAATTGAACTTGTGCCAAGGGTTGGCATGGCCTTTACTTCAGAGGAAGATGCATATAGGTTTTATAATGCATATGCTAGAAAAGTTGGATTCAGTATAGAGAAGTGCCACACAAAACAAAGAGCAGATGGCACATTATCTTCAAAGTACTTTGTTTGCAGCAATGAAGGTCAAAAGAACACAAATCCAAAATATCAACCAAAGAAAGAACGAGCTTCAACAAGGACATGTTGCAATGCTCGTGTTCAATTCTACATTTCTCGAGAAGGAATCTGGATGTTGCAGAAAGTCATTCTCCCTCACAATCATAGTTTTATAAGCCCTGACAAGGCACACATGCTTAGATCATAGCGGTGTATGACAAAAACAGATGAGCATATCATTAGCAAAATGCGCCAAGCTGGAATTAAGCCAACTGAAATATATGAATTTTTTCAGCGATGGTCAGGTGGAGCTGAGAATGTGCATTTCTTGAAGATGGATTGCAATAACTTCATTGGTCGTGAGCGTAAAAGATACTTGGAAGCCCAAGATGCACAAACAATATTGGAATATTTAGAGAATAAGCAAGTTGAAGATCCTTCTTTCTATTATGCTGTTCAATTGGACAAAGAGGATGGTCGAATATGTAACTTGAATGAAAAAGAAGCACCACAATGTTTTCTCATGTGTTCCCAAGAGGTCGCCGAGGAGCGCATATCATTTAAAGTACCTCCACATAAAAAAGGTCCGACACTTAAAGATCAAAAAGTGTACTTGAAGGAGGAAATAAAAATCCTTCGACAAACAAAAAAGAAGGAAAGGAAAATGCTCCTAGAACTAAAAAGAAGAAAGGTATGCATAATAACTTGTGTGTGATCTGCTAATTTTCACTATATAGCGACTGATTGTTTGCACATGTCTACAGTAGATGAATCAAGGCAATCATCCAATATAAAACTACCTGGAACTTCACAGCAGCATGTAAGATTAACCAAAACCTGGATTTCCTTTAGTAACAATTTATTTCAGTTTGTAATGCCTTTTTCATTCTGAGACTATACATTGGTACAGGGGCACTTCAACTCAGCTGCTACTGCAGTTGCTACAACATTGGCAACAAGCAATATGATAAGGGAATATTGTGTTCTTGCCCTCACTTTGATGTCCAATTGTGATTTTACCCTCGTTTTTGTCATCGTTGTGATTTTACCCCTGCTTTGTAACTACTAAGGCTCAGTTTACCCTTACTTTTAACTCTGTTAGCTTTTATCTAGAATAAAAAAAAAAAACCCTTCACAGTAAGACCAAAAGACAGTAATACCCCTTATCCACTCTTACCCTCCCAATCCCCCAATCCTCTGCCGTGTCCTCTCTGTCTCTCTCATTCCCCATCCCCAAGACCCCAACAGGAAGAGCACCGGAAGCAGCAGCAGGCCGGCGCCCGGCCCGGCCGCTGCCATATCCATCCGCAAGGCGCTGGGAGGTGCTCCGCCTCGCGTCCGCCACGGGTGACCAGGCGACCATCGGCATTGCGCGGGTGACGGGCGCCGTGGCGCTGGACCTCGACGTGGCCATCGTGCACGCCACCTCCCACGACGACGCGACCCCGGACGACCGCCACGCGGGAGGTGCTCCGCCTCGCGTCCGCCACGGGCGCGGCGCCCGCCTGAGTCGCCTCCATCGCCCGCCGCCTCTCCAGGACCCGCTACTACGTCATCGCCGCCAAGTGCCTCGCACTCCTGCACCACCTCGCCGCCACCGACGCCGACCCCGACCCTGCCGAGGACGCCGACGGAGAGGGCCGCACGCGGTTCCTCCACGAGCCGCTCTGCCGCACCCTCACTGACTGTCGCGTGGGGGAGCCCGTGCTCGCGCTGCTCCTCGACTTACGCGATGAGGTGCACACGGCATCGTGGGACCACTCCGCCTTCGTCCACGCCTACACCACCTACCTCCTCGACCGTGTCTGCTTCCTCGTCCTGCTCCTCCCCGCGCCGCGCTTCGCCGACGACCGTGTCAGGGGACCACCGCACACGGCGGCGGCGGCGGCCGACTTGGACATGGAGGCGCTCCTGGGCTGCGTGCGCCACCTGCGGCACCTGCTAGACCGCCTCCTCGCGTGCCGCCCCATGGGCTCCGCCGGGGCCAGCCGCGTCGTGCGCGCCGTGCTCCACCCGCTGCTCAGCGATAGCTTCAGAGTCTATGAGGACGTCGTGCTCGTCCTTGCGCTCCTCCTCGATCGCTTCTTTGACATGGACTACCCTGAGTGCGCCAAGGCCTTCGAGACCTACGTCGGCACCGCCAAGCAGATCGACGCGCTCCACGCCTTCTACGCCTGGTGCGACGACGCCGGCGTCGTGTGCTCGTCCGACATCGCCGACGTCAGGCGCGTCGACGACAAGCTCCTCGAGACCATGGAGCAGTTCCTGAGGCAGCGCGGCCGGGCGGGACGCGCCTCGCCGCCACGATCGGCGCGCGAGTCTGCTGTCGGTAAAACAGGGGTAAAATCACAGTGTATTCAGATAAGCAGAGGTAATTTCGCAGGGGCAAACTTGTCTTATTGAGCCTATTTGACACCGTTACCTGCTGTTCACGGAATAGGGGTAAACTTAAGCTTCGTTTTCAAAAAACAGGGGTAAAATCACAACGATGACAAAAGCAGGGGTAAAATCACAACTGGACATCAAAGTAGGGGCAAGAACACAATAGCCCCATATGATAATGCCATTTGGAGATAACTCCATGTTCATTCCACCAATCCAAGGAGAGTTTACAAATCTCTTACTTCAAGTTCATCATAAAGTGCCTACTTCTCGTCGCTTAGAATTTGATAAATGAAATGATGATTCATGTGCTAATAATATTCGTGCACTTTGCAACTTTATGGAAGCAAAGAGCCAGCAGGATGTCGCCTTTCTCATTGTTATTGATATACTGCTACACAGTGAAATCATCTTATCATATTTTACTTGTGTATGTATTTTTATTTTTGTCGGGAAGGTTCCTTGGTGTAGCAAGAAGCATCCTCGTCCATCAGGGTGTGAGGAATTAAAATGTACATGTATTGCTAGAAGTGAACAAATCAGTTTGGCAGAGACGCAAACAATTATGCCCCATCAAGCACATATGTGTTTTCCAGACATACCTGAGCTTTGAGACGCATATATTTCATAGTGTTGATTATCCCATTAACTCTCTAGTCTGGCAGAGATGCAATCAGTTTTGTCCGAGGAGTGTCAGCAAAATACTCCCTCTTAAACCTACTTATATATAGCGGGAGAAACAGCTGTAGCACAAAACCGAACCCTTTCAAGCACAGCTCTAATCTTCTTACAAAATAACTGCAAAGGCGTTTCATTAGATAATGCTTTGCTTACATTTGTAGAAGATCATTAATGTTCCTTCTTGCCCGATGGAAGAGATCGATATTGTTATGAGGCTGCAAGGGAGAATAAAGATAAATAATGCTCATCATGTATTATTGGAGGAAAAAGTAATGTTTAAGATGCAGTCTAAGTGAAATTGAAGGGGTTATGTTATTCTAAAAGAGGTATATGCTTTTCTATTCAGACATTCATTTCTTGCTAGTATTGAATAATAGAAATGATGATTACAAAACTGTAAACAGAGTAAAGTAATAAAAGGAGAACTATACAAAGCTAACATCTCTGAATATTTGTTTCTATTTGATTAAGAAGCCTATTATTTTCCTCCAGAAGATGCTGCACTGGACAATCTATCTCAGATGCTACATGATGGAAAATACAGCATTGTCATATCATCATATTACAAAACAAGCATTGGTTAAATCTTGCCGAAGTTTAGGACATGAATCTGTTTTAGTGCACTACTTGAATCTCAGATGCTACTTGAATCTGTTATAGTGCACTACTGAAAACTACGATCTCAAGTGCAATTTATATGACTAACAAAATCTACTGATTTACAGTATCTCGTTAACCAAGGACAGAACAACATGCTACATGTTTGTATGTAGTTCCAAATACTAGCAAGTAGAAGGCTGTGTAATCCCAATTTATTCTAACAAGTTCCACATACCCAAAGCTATTCTCATTCATGTTCTTGAAAAGTAAACATCCAAAGTGTCAACTTTTTTTATCCCTTTCTGTCACTTGACACTAACTCTGACAATATATACAATTATAGGTTTTCATCAGTCACAGCTCTAGAGGCCAATAATTGTTATTGCTGAACGCACTCCATCAATGGTGTAAAGTCCATTGTCGAACAGTTGGTTGGCACAGTGCCAACCTCGATGTGTTTGGGCATGGCCGTAGTCTGTGCTGGTGTCACAATGTCCCAACGTCGAACACTTGATGTGCGTGGCCGAGTTATGCTTAACGAAACTGCAAGACAGGGCATAGTGGTGGAGCTGAGGTTGGCCAAATGTGAGGGAATTACAGCTCGAGCAGCGGGTCGCCTCCGCAGCGAAGCCATGGAGCTCCGCCACGCCCGAGCCCGCCTTGCAACGGCTCGGCCCCGACATTATCTAATGAAACGCCTTTGCAGTTATTGCTTCACGGACCTGGGGCAATTCCATTGCAGAACAGGCCGAGCTCGCCCGAGCGCCTTCCGCGGTTGCCGGGGTTGAGCTCGCCGGCCGCCGGTGTGGCCCCCATGGGAGCGTATCTGCTGGCGCTGCGCACGCGTCAGGGCGAGCTGTCGTCGCCGTCGCGCATCAGACCGCCCCGCCGCCGCTGCGAAGAGACTCCGCGTGCGCCGTTTTCCTTAGGGCCGACGGGGAGCCGCGTGCAGCCTCGGCCGCGCGCGTGCTCCGGCGAGTGGGCCCACGACGGCGACACCGCTTTTCCCTCTCGCCTTTCCCCTGTCCAGATGCGGGATCGAGGCATTTGTGTCGGTGGCGGACACCTTCGACTTGTGCGGCTCCTGCTGCTGGACGATCTGAACGGAGGGAGTATAGGTAACGGCGTCGTTAACGGTGACGGGAGTATGCGGTTCAACTGTTCAAGGATGCGTTGAGATTGTTGTGGGGGACACGTGTGAAGCAACGAATGAAGGTCTTTTAGATAGGGAACTCTCAGAATTTGCTTCCAGTAGTACTTCCTCTTTTGAAAGTATAAGTTGCTTTGACTATTTTGGTTCATTAATTTTATTATGTATTTAGATATATTATTTATCTAGATGTCTAGTAAAATAAATATACCAAAAAAAAAAGTCAAAGCGACTTATAGGGCCTGTTCGCTTGTCTGAATTTTGGAGGAATCTGGATTGTTTGGAGGAATGCTGGAGGAATTTGTGAGAGAAAAACACTGTTCTGGATGAAAAAATAAGCGGATCAGGTTTAAGGACACGCGAACGGAGCCATAATTTGGAACGGAGGGAGTAGCCTTTACAATTTACACATATGGTAATAAGATAAATAGATACATATATATAACATCCCCGTCCTCATTTCCTATATTTTTTTTCCTGCCGTTACAATGCATGGGGTATTTTTGCTAGTCAAAAATAAAAATAGAATTTTTTTAATGTAAAAAATAAAAATAGAAATAATATCTCATAATATAACTTCATAAAACTTGCCGTCATAACTTATCACTTATATATATGGAATATGTCACTTGTTATAATTTCTAGAACATGTTGTAACTTATGAACAGCTAGTACTAGTAGCACTGTACGGCTTGAAACAAAATCGCACTGCACATTGGATGCACGGAATAACTTCAGGTTCGCAAACATTTTTCCGAAAATATCGTGTGCAAAAAAAGAAAGAAAAAACAATGGCGTTCAGGCGGTTCAGCCGGATCGACAGTAAGCGCATACCGTATACCGCGTATGGTACAGTCTTTATTTACCGGATACCGAATACGCTAGTTGATCCGTACAGGGCAATCTGCAATTGTACAGCGCTATACAGACTTATTATACAGAAGAATAAGAATGCAAACATCCGTTATCACACCGCACGAGTTAGGCTCGGCGGCGCCAAATCTGCAGCACAAAGGACTCGACACCATGAGTGAGCAGCTGCTGAGCTGCATGCAGGAGCGATCAGTAGGTGTCATCGGCGTCTGCCTCTTCGTCGTCGCTCTCCAGCTCTGCCATCTCGGCCAGCAGCGCCGGGTCGACCACCTTGGACATGTCACCGGGGGTCTTGGCCTCCTGAACGATCCGCATGATCTCGTCCACGGCCTGCGCCGGCTCGGTGGCATCCGAGTCCTTGTAGTTGGCCTTCTCCCTCTCCGAGATCTCCCTCGGCAGGTTCCTCAGGAACCACGGGTGATGCTTTATCTCCGGGATCGTGATCCTCTTCAGGCAGACAAAGTTTTAGAAGAATTCACTTTGTCAGTCATCACGTTGAAAATTATAACTCCAGGGTTGCAGGATGCAAAGCTCATCTAATTACTTAATCAGCATATGAGATATTTGCCTTTTGGGGGGTAATCTGAACTCCGAAGATTAGGCTAACTTGGATTTACTGAACTGAGAGAGGAAGTACCTTTGAAGGATCGGCAACGAATATTTGAGACAGAAGGCGTCTGCAGTCTGAAGACACTCTCACATAATCCGGGATGGAGTATTGCACGCCAAGAATTCTCTGACAAGCACAAGAGACACATTTGAATTGCTTTCAGATTCACCAAACAAGCAACTGAAGCAAGTTGTGATAACCGCAGAAGGGAAAGGGAGATGATTACGCTGATCGTTTTCCGGAAGTTCCTTGGATCCTCAGGATCTTCAAATGGATATGATCCCACAAGCATCACGTACAGTGTGACACCACAGGACCAAACGTCTGCTACCTGGACGACGAGAATTAGTTCTCTCAGAACATGCAGTGTTGCAAGCTACCGATGTAAAGTATCAGAAAACTCAGAAGCCTAAAAGCAGCACTTGAAAACTCAGAAGCCTAAAAGCAGCACTTGAAGGATATACAGCTTCATATTCTCTGCTCGTCTTCAGTGCAAGCATTTTCAGTGAAAACGAGGCAAGAAACCAACTGGTACCTAAACGGTAAATTATTGTGCCCACACAACATTAAAAAGAAAGCCCAATGCTAATTCTATATGCAACACATCCTGAATCAAACTCAGTAGTCAGTACTTTCAAGGGCTTCTCTTTATGAGTTGCAGAAAGTACTGCTGCAGTATTTGGAAAACAAAACATGTCTGTCTGAAGGACGACGACTTCAAGTCATAAAAATACATGATACAAAAAAGGGGTTTAAGCGTTTACGCCCCGTTTTGCAGCAGAAACACCAAAATTCCCTAAAAAAAGAACTAAAGGAACTACAAGTTCCAGTTTTGTTAAGTGCTGCCAACCTTTTACCTCGTTGGTTGATGTAAGAAAAAAGCAGATACACATACAGCAAGGAACTGAGAATTGTCAAACATACAATGAAGTAAATAGTAACTAACCTTTCCATCATACTCTTTTCTGGAAAGAACCTCGGGCGCTATGTATGCTGGAGTTCCAACTGTTGATTTTGGTTTCGAATGCAGCAAAGCAGACTGAAAAGCAGACTAGCAAAGTTTGTAACTGATTCAACGAGATGTTGCAGCCAGTTGCTAGTAAAGTTAGGATGCATAACAGAGCTGGTGCAGTATCCATATACAGCACCTTTGAGTAACCAAAGTCACAAATTTTCACGCGAGGTGTTGGACTCCCATCAAGGAGGGTATTCTCAAGTTTAAGATCACGGTGACAAATTTCCTGCATTTGCAGTTGCAGTTCATTAAAACTTACACTCCACTATTCATGAACTTGTCAACTTCTCGAAGCAAAACCATACCATAGTGTGACAGTAGCTGACCCCTGATATCAGCTGCTGAAAGAAATACCTAGACTGTTGACATTTACAACATAGGGAACACATAACATTAGTTAGACACAGTTCGGGGCGAGAAAATAGGTTGATGATAGGACGAATATAGGGCCAAAACAAACCTCATCTTCACTGAATCGCCCTGCTGTGGTGATTTTCTCAAATAGCTCTCCACCAGCAGCATATTCCATGACAATAGCAAGATGTGTGGGCGTTAAACAAACCTATTACCAATATATTCGCAGAACAAAGTATGAGCTTTGCAATGCAATTTGGTATTAAGATGATAAATTGTTCATTTTTTGAAATGGTTCAGCAAGGGTCATACTTCTTTTTTTGGTCATACTTTTTTTATTGAAAAGGACAGCAAGAGCTTTGCCATAATTTTCTTAGAAGAGAAGAATCGGCCCAGCTTTTAGGGAAAGCCATGCCCAAAATCCTTACAACTAAAGGGTGAAAACTACCCAATAAAAACAACTAAAAACCAGCTCAATCAATCTTGCAACACCTTTCTTAGGGCTCTCAAGTCTCAAGCCTGTAACATTGAGCACAACTAAACACACACTACCAATCAACTAGACAACTCACAGAAAAAAACCACACTAAACAAGACTAAGAGACACAGGAGTTGCAATGGAAGACTGCACCAGAAAACAGCTAGACTCATAGTTTACGATAAAAACTAGGATACCTTAGAATTCTGAAACGATATAGTTTGTGCAACTCAGCTAACAGTGCTTTCAGTGCTGCTTAGTGTTACAAACTGGCAGATTTAGTCATCAAGCAAACAGCCAAAAATAGCACGCTGTCCTTTATTATGTTCCAAAAGGAGCACCAGTGCAGTGCTATGAAACAATCAAATTCGACAGAAACAGCCAATAAAGATATCAATCAATTGGTGAATCCAAAATTTCCGAATTACCTCCTTGAACCGTACGATGTTAGGGTGCCGGAGCGACTGGTGATTGATGATCTCCCTCTGCACATTCTCATCAATCTGCGCAGACAGACACAAATCAAGAAAGTATCCAAGAAACACACAGAACTCAAGTCAGAGCCTCCTTCTGGACTGAAACTCCCCTTTTTTTTTTCTTTTCATGAAACGACCCTCCCAACACCCCACCGATCCGATTTTAGAAGCAGCACCAGCAATCCCCAAACTCAAGCACGAACAGTAGACAAAAGCCAAGCCGGGAGACTGCTACGTACCTTCTTGCCCCTCTCGATGTACTTGACGGCGAGGAGCTCCTTGGTCCGCTTGTCCCTGACCAGCCTCGCCACCCCGAAGTTGCCGGCCCCCAGCTCCTTCAGCGCCTCGTACCTCTCCTCCATCAGCACTCAGCAGCGGTCCCGACCTAGACCTCCCAAGAATGGCGAGTTGGCGACACCGAACAAAAGGAATCTCCCAGCAGAGAAGAGCCAAGCGACCAACCCAAATACCCAATCACAAGTGCTAGCGAACTCTAACCAAACCAGACGTGACCGGATAGAGAATTCTCTCGGTCGCAGTCTGCAGTCGCGGCTCGACGGGAAAGCGACGAAGTGACGAACTTGCGCGACACGTGGAGGAGACAGCGGTGTTCCTCTGAAGGGCGGTTCTGGCCGCGTGGGCCCGGAGTCGGAGTGGCATCGCATTCGCTATTGTACGGGACCCGCGTGGCGTGGGCCGTGGGGTCGCTCTACGGCTCAGGTTGGGTGGGCGAGCGCCTAGTGGCCCTGTGGGCCGCTTGTCAGCGGGATTTGGTGGCACGTCCACAATGCCACGTGTCCTCTGCCGCGGGCCCCTTCATTCTCCCGTGCCACGTAGACCCATGCAGGCCCAGTTTGCTTGAACATCGCACATGATTTTGTTATTATGGGCCTAAAACACATGCATCAACATCGTTGGCGGCCCATCTCTGGTCTTCATCATATACTACATCGATACATGCGCCAATGGACTATCTATTCAGTATATCTAACCATAATATATGGTTTTGGCATAACCCTTGGTTGCCATATATAAATATCAAAGTCCTCATTCAGTCTGTTCGCTTGCTCGTAAACGATCGTAAATTTTCAGCGAGGAACAATGTTTTTCTCTCACACCAAACCAACCAGCAGTAAATAATCCACGATACGATACGGCCTCCCGAACAGGCTGATTATACTTTTACGAAGGGGCCAACTGTAACGGGCGCATCAAGCATTATGCTATTGCAATTGATCAGTGTTCAAAAGCAGAATTATACGCTCGAATCGCTCTTTGTTGTTATATTGCAAGAATCGTATTTTATCCGGATTGATATGATCATAAAACAAAAGATGGCCCATCAATGTAGTTGATCATCATCCTTACGTTAAATTGTCCTAGAAATGTGCTTTTTAAGTACGCAAGCTTTACTAAAAAAATAGGAGAGTATATGTTCGCACATAAAAACTAGCCAACTTGGACAAATTCAAGCAAAAAACAATCTAGACTGGTTTCCAAATCAGCCTACGACGATTTCATGACTTTCTCAAAAATTTAAATTACACTTTATCATTGGATTCCTCTCATCGAGGTGATCCAAAATCATATATATAAAGTCAAATTTGAAGTACGGATGGTGAAATTGTGCTTCAGAGGTGCCCCCAAAACCGACCTAGGCTGGTTTCTGGTATTGTGCAAATTGGTTTAGGCCAATTTTTGCTATCAAGATTGAGTTGGATTCATTTTGCGCGAATTTGCGAGGGATCTCGACCCCCCATAGGACAAGACCATCTCTATCCCCTCTCTGTATATATGAGAGATGACAACCGATTAAGGCATCCAATCAATCAAAAAACAAACCAATCTACTATTTTACATTTCCCAAACCTTAGCTCTTCCAACCCTGTATCTACTACTCTACAAGCTCCTCGACAGAGTTTATGGATGTTCTAGGTGGCCTTGTTGACTGAGAGCAACCTTAGTTGCGCCTCCTCGATGAGCTCCTTCCCAAGCGGCATTTCAAGATTTTTTTTGCCGAGTCTGGCCCAATCGGTTTTCTCTGCCTCACTGCATTTTCGATCTTCGAGTGACTCGTAGAACCCTCATGTGATCTGGACATGCTAGCCTTTTAGGTGTGTGATCGGTCTTCTTGTTAATACAAATAATTCCAACTTTTACATAACATGTCAATCTAGTTGTGGAAAATATTCACCTTTCCCATAACATTTATCTAAAAAATGGCGTTCCTAAATCCTAACTTGTACAGGTAATGCCTTTGATTTGATCTGGTAGTTAGCTTCGCTTCATGAGAAGCGTGGGAGAAGCAACATGGTGAAGAAAGCACACAACTTGAGATAAAATCAAACGCCATATTGCGTTAATCCCCAATCAATCACAATCACGTGCAAGGGGCAATGATTGTAGTATAATAATCTATAATCTACTCGGCCCTGATCTTGATCTTATATATAGGACAAAAATCTTGATCTTATATAACTCTAGGACAAAAACCAGATAGCACTCCACTGCCCAACGGAATAGCACGAAGAGAAGCCATGATTTGACCCAACGGTAATGACATTGACAATGTTGTTAACAAACCGTAACTCAAGTCCATGCGAAGTCAAAATCAAATTCGGATCAAAATGAGTCAAAACAAATAACTCCGAAGGAAGACATACTAAGATGCCGTTGATTCTCTGAGCTAATAGTTAGCTACTAAAATTATTTTATAGATCCAAACACTATAACAAATAGCCCGATTACTAATTAAAAATGAGCTATTTAGTCAATAAAAAATATTAACTGGTTCATATAAGCTAAGATCATATTTGAACCATAGAACTAATAATTGGCTATTCTTTTGAATCTGAACAGATCTAGCGAATAGTCTAATCAATTATGAGCTTGTTTGAATCCTTACGACTTAGTTAGCTGCTACTCTTGGCTAAAATGTCATTAATGCCTTACCTACTAAGAGCTAACTAAGTTGAGAACCTATTTGGATTCTCAGCTAAAATGTCAGGTAATATCTTACCTACTACCAAACTGAGTGACAGTAGGCTATTATCTGATTTCTCACAACTAACCTCTAATAATTAATTGGATGGATCCAAACAGTAGATATCTTGATCAAACCTGTTCTAATTCATAAGCTAACAATTAGGCTCAGTTTTTTTTTTCAGATTATCTCGATAAAAAACGCATGGTCTCGCGAATTCCGTCTCCGGAGATCGAAGGTAATCAGAATAATCGACCAGAATCTGAGACGCCGTCGCCGTCGCCGTCGGCCGGCTGCGGGCCTGCGGCAGTTGGCTCCGCGACTGTAACAACCTTCCAGGTTGGTGCGTGCGCCACCACCCTGCCGTAGTGCCGTTAGGCATGGCGAGCGACGCGCGAGGCTGAGAATAGCCGCACGGTGCGCTGTCGCGTGCCGAATCGCTTGTGCCGTCATGCGGCTTCGTCTCGGCTACCTTTACCGCCGCACGTTTTGGCCCTTTTCCAGTAGAAGAAGCGTCGAAGGGGACGCGCACATGCGCCGGCGTGGCGGAGACTGACCCGAACGAGGGGAAGGGCGGCCGCCCCAGCCTCCCGGTCCCGGGCCAGGGGCTCCGCTCCCCGCCTCGTCTCGGCCTGGCTGGGTCGGTTCGCCCTCGCTCCGACGCGTGGTCGGCGCGACTCCCCCGGCTCCTGGTCCGTTCCGCACCCCGCTTCGACCAACCAATCGCCGCCGCATCGCGTCGCCTCCTTTTCCCCCCTCCCGCCCGGACGGCGGCCTCGCCTCGCCAGAAGAACCCAGTCTGCAGCCGAAACCCCAGTCTGCGTCATCCGACCCGCCTCGACGGCCCAGATACACTCGCCCCCGTCGCTCTCGTGCCCCTCACTCCCTCGCCTCCTCCGCGGCGGCGGGGCCATTTCTAGGCGGGAGCTAGCGCGGGCGGCGGGGCTAGCAGATTGGTCGGTTGGTTTCAGTGCTTGTGTCGGTTCTACGAAACGCCCCGCCGCGGCGATGGGGTGCTTCCATTCCACGGCGAAGCGGCAGCACCCTGGCTACGAGGACCCCGTGCACCTCGCCTCCCAGACCGCCTGTGAGTTCGCCTATCCCATCCCCTGCCCTACGCGTACGAGCTACTTGCGTGAGTTCGAGTTTTATTTAGTTTTCAAAACGATGATTGCCGTGGTTGGAATGGGATTGGAGATGCCAAATGTTTCGTCTATATATCGGTGTCGTGTACTAGGATATCTTAGATATCTGTGTACGAGCACTGGATGCGTGCTGCATGATCCTTGCGTTTTCTGTAATTTATAAATTGTCCTCACTAGATCTTGCTAAGTACGTGCTTTTGTTTTGCTTATGTAGTCAGCGTTAGCGAGGTTGAGGCTCTATTCGAGCTGTTCAAGAGCATAAGTGGTTCGGTGATTGATGATGGCCTGATCAACAAGGTATATTCTATTGGTCATCTCTGTATTCCTTGTCATATTGTCAGTTTTGGGTATGAACATCAAATATGCTCACTAGCCATGTTCTAGTTAGCTCTCCTTGCTGATTGTAAGACTGGAAAGTGAAACTTGTAATCCTACGTTTTGTATTTTTAATCTCTTAAGCTGCAGAAATTATGCGGCAATGCCATTTGTATGTACTTTTAATAGTTGTAACTTGTAGGCACCAAGATTTACATTCAAATGTTTGTTTTCGTTCTGCTCATTGTTGTTCCTCGCCAAATGTTCCTTATTTACAAGACAACCCAATGATACATGAAGTGCTCTACTTTGTATATCAAATTGATCTCAGACTTTTCGGGTTTCATCTCCATTAGAATGGCTAGATTTAACGTTGGCTCGCCAATCTCAGATTTCTACTACATTTTTTTTTTCAATCAAAGATGCAATAGTCGAAACATACTCATAAGTTATCTGTCTAGATTGGAGTGAGGTACCATCTCAGGTTGTGGGCGTACAACAACGAAATACCTGTTCAAAAATAAGCTATTGTATCATGTGCCATTCATATTTTGGATAAGCTAAATTTGAACTGCATAACTAGAGGAAGTGTCTTTCGGTTCCATATTTATTTCAAACATCATGTTATGTAAAGTTTTTGAACTGTTATGCTAAGTCATGCGGAATTATCACTTTATGCCAGTGAGAACTAAAATTTTGCGGACATAAAAACCTAAGAGTGATTAATCTTTGCCATCATTTTATATTGCACAGGAAGAATTCCAGCTAGCATTGTTTAAGAATCAGAGGAAAGAAAATCTTTTCGCTAATCGGGTATGCATCTGCTTGACAACTATACTCATTTGAATTTCATCACTATTGTATTGTGCTTTAAGCACTATTGCCATCAGTTAAATTTACATGAAACTGGACTCGCAGA